TATGACATATTAATGCGAAGGAACTAGAGTTTCAAGATAGATGCATTTAGTAGATAGAGAAATATCACCATCAATATGGTTAAAGTAGATAGAGAGAGCAATGACGAGCTCAAGGATTTGGTACAGAGACACAAGAGTAGAGAGAGACGATCGATGTTGAAAGAGTAAAAATCCAACGAGGAAGAACTATTAATGTTGGCCGTTTGATAATTTGAGCGAGATAGAGGAGTTTGAGTGAGAAATAGAGAGAGAGCTAAGGCACAACTAGGACAAATTGAGGGAAAGAAAATAGAATAGGGAAATAAAAGAGGAAATGTTGGGAAAAAAAATTAAGAGGACAATGATTTAGTAGAAAAAAATAAAATCACATTGAAGATAAATTTGTTCAACACATTTTTTATTAAAAATTAGTCAAATTATTTATATATATGTCCATGTGTGTATATAGATATTTTAAAATGTATATTGTTTGTATATTGCCCTTTCTATTATATTTAGCAGATATTATGATTAAAATAAATCTAAAATAGAGATATGTGATCAAAATTGGTTATGAGATATGTGGTTAGTGGTTTTGAGTTGGTTATGATCAAAGTTAGGTGGTTATGAGATGTGGGATTAGTGGTTATGAGATGTGGTTAAGAGATATGTAATTAGTGGTTATGAGATGTGGTTAAAGTAGTGTGGTTATGAGCCAAAGACTATTGGTTATGAGATATATGGATAATGGTTATGAGATATGTGATATTAGTTATGATCAAAGTAGTGTGGCTATGAGCCCAAGGGTGTTATGAGATATGTGATTAGTGGTTATGATATATGTGATGTTAGTTATAAGCAAAGTGGTGTGGCTATGAGTCAAAGGGTGTTATGATATGTGATTAGTGGTTATGATATATGTGATATTAGTTATGAGCCAAAGAGTGTTAGTTATGAGATATGTGGATAATGGTTATGATATATATGATTACTGATTATGAGATGTGTGATTTTGGTAATGAGTAAAGTGGTGTAGTTATGAGTCAAAGGGTGTTTGGTTATGAGATATGTGATTATTGGTTATAAGATATGTGATATTGGTTATGATCAAAGTAATGTGATTATATGCAAAAGGGTATGTGATGTTGGTTATGAGTCAAAAGGGGTTGGTTATAAGATGTGGTTATGAACAATATGGGCAGTGGTTATGAGAAATGTGATTAATGATTATGAGATATGTGATATTGGTTATGATCAAAGCGGTGTGGTTATGAGGTAAAGGATATTGGTTATGAGATGTAGTTACGAGATATATATGATTATGGTTATGAAATATGTGATATTGGTTATAAGCAAAATGACGTTGGTTATGAGATGTGGTTATGAGATATGTGATGACAGCTCATAACTAAGTTATGATCAGTTCGATTTCAGTTATGAACAAATATAATTTTGGCTCTTAATTATAAAAAGTGACTTGTTTATCAGGTCATTTTTAATGATGTGACTTAATCTTAGTCATTGATTTTTTATGTACTATACATTTTTTTAAGCAAAATATACTATAGAATTTCCCTCTTATTTTCAAAAACGTTATCTAGTGGATCCATGTTTTAAGGTGGCTGCGCTTCCATGGAATTGGGGAGCGTGCTGTGCCTATAAGGCACAGAAGGCACAACATAGTGCTGTGAGGCTCATTGGATTCTTGTCCCGAGCTCATGTTATTGATCCAAATCTTCATTGTGTAAGGTTTGTTGAGTGGATCATCCATGAAGAAAATCAAATCAGTTGGTTATTTATAACCTTAAAATAAGGCCATATTTGTTTTTCAAAAAATAAAAAAAAAAAACGATTAATATAATTTTAATAATTTATTTTAAAAAAGTTAGGACTTGATTTTTTTACAAGAATGATATGCTCGATGAACCTTACAATATGAATTGTTCAAACCATCAAATATGCTCGGGACAAGTCTCCGTGATACGTCAAAACATGAATGATGTGCCACAAGGCACAACATGCACCTTAGATCCATCCTGTAACAATGAAACAAATAATTAATTTGACTAAAATATAAATAAATAAAAAAAGATAAAAGAAAAACTAATTATATATCTAATACACTTGAATATAAGGCTAGACTTATAAGATAATTATGACTTATTTTCAGTCAAATTCCTTAGGAATCTCCCACCAACCACCCAAGTTGGTTTTGTCATATTCTATCTATCTCTAACAATTAGTCAAGGTAATGCAGTCCATTAATGTCTTATTTTGGGATGATTTAGGAAATTGGTTAAAAGTTGATTTTTTAGTTTTTTTTTGTATACAAACCAAACAAAGCCATTATTAAAGAACAGTGCAATCTTTTTCAACATAATTTAATACTCTCAGCAAATAAAGCAACCCACAAACAGCATTAAAGAAGAACATGTGCAATCTTTTTCAGCATAATTTAATACTCTCACCAAATGAAGCTACCCACAAACAATATTAAAGAAGAACATGTGCAATCTTTTTCAGCATAATTTAATACTCTCACCAAATAAAGCGACCCACAAACAAAGTAAAAAAAAAAAAAAAAAAAAGACATGGAAAAATATGAAATAAAATTCTTTGCAATATCTTTCTTGCAATAATCAAGATTATTGTAAGGATAATAGTGTTTTAGACTTAAAGCATCTATTTGCATTATCACTAATTAAGTTTTGAGCATAAATTACTTATCTAAATTACCTTTGCAAGATTATTCCAAGGGTGATTATGATTGTAGTTTGAAAAATATATATTTTTAATATAATAATATATACTTATATATTCACATATAAAATCATATATGGTTCTTAAAATGAAAAAAATAATAATTTATATATATAATATTAAATATAATATGGATTTTATTAATGTGTGTGTTCTTAAGGTACATGTTAAGAAATTTAGAAGTATTGCACATTGTGTATCGAAATGAATTCAATAAATAAGATAAAATATTTTTAAGTTATCTCAATATTTACTTTAAGGGTACACATTAGCCAGACCAATTGGTTTGTATTTGTAAAACACTTTTAAAAAATAATTTTTTGGAAAGAGTTTACAAAGTTTAAATTTTTTGTTTGGTTGTATATTTTGAAAATAGTTTTGGAATTTTACAATTTGGGATGATTTAATTTTTTTTTTTTTCTTTTGTAGTTGAATAGATGGGTGTGAAAGAAAAAATGATTGATTCATATGGAAGATGGGAGAGAGAGAGAGAGAGAGAGAGAGAGAGAGAGAGAGAGAGAGAGAGAGAGAGATTGATTGATTGATGTATAGTAAAGAGAGATTATTTTGAATTTTTTCCCAAAAATTTCAACCAAACAAATTTAATTTTTTTTTTTAATCAAAAATTGTCTCTGCAGAGACAAGCCAAACAAAGGCATTATTAAAGAACATGTGTAATCTTTTTCAGCATAATTTAATGCTCTCACCAAATAAAGCGACCCACAAACAATATTAAAGAAGAACGAGTGCAATCTTTTTCAGCATAATTTAATACTCTCACCAAATAAAGCGACCCACAAACAAAGTCACAGAAGTCTTGCAAAAAAGACATGGAAAAATATGAAATAAGATTCTCTGAAATATCTTTCTTGCAGTATTCAAGATTATTGTAAGGATAATAGTGTTTTAGACTTAAAGCGCCTATTTACATTATCACTAATTAAGTTTTGAGCTTAAATTACTTATCTAAATTACCTTTGCAAGATTATTCCAAGGGTGATTATGATTCTAGTTTGAAAAATATATATTTTTAATATGATAATATATACTTATATATTTACATATAAAATCATATATATGGTTCTTAAAATGAAAAAAATAACAATTTATATATATAATATTAAACATAATATGGATTTTATTAATGTGTGTGTTCTTAAGGTACATGATAAGAAATTTAAAAGTATTGTGCATTGTGTATGGAAATGAATTCAATATATAAGATACAATATTTTTAAGTTCTCTCAATATTTACTTTAAGGGCACATATTAACCAGACCAATTGGTTTTTATTTGTGAAACACTTTTAAAAAATAATTTTCTAGAAAGAGTTTACAAAGTTTAAAATTTTGTTTAGTTGTATATTTTGAAAATAATTTTGGAGTTTAATAGTTTGGGATGATTTAAATTGTTTTTTTTTTTTGGTAGTTAAATAGATGAGTGTGAGAAAAAATGATGATTGATATGTAGTATGTGAGAGAAAGAGAGAAGAGAGAGAAAAAGTGATTGATTGATGTATAGTAAAGAGAAAAATAATTTTGGATTTTTTTCCCAAAAATTTCAACAAAACAAATTTAAATTTTTTTTTTTTTATCAAAAATTGTCTCTCAAGAGACAAACCAAACAAAGCCATTATTAAAGAAGAACATGTGCAATCTTTTTCAGCATAATTTCATAGTCTCACCAAATAACGCGACCCACAAACAAAATCACGGAAGTCATGCAAAAAAAACGACATGGAAAAATATGAAATAAGATTCTTTGCAATATCTTTCTAGCAATAATCAAGATTATTGTAAGGATAGTAGTGTTTTAGAATTAAAGCATATATTTACACTATCACTAATTAAGTTTTGAGCTTAAATTACTTATCAAAATTACCTTTGTAAGATTATTCCATGGGTGATTATGATTCTAGTTTGAAAAATACGAGACCCATGAAAATAACATTGGGAAAAAGACAACCATCTATCAAATAAACATTGCATAACTTTGGATTTTGGGTAGAAAAAGGCATTGTTGCTTGATTTCTGGGTCGACTGATTTGCTCCACTTCCATCTTTGATTTTGTAATTCGTTATTCCCTAATTTCTTTCTTCAACTAGTATGATATGTATCAATTTCTTCTACTATTTTATTTTTATTTTTTGTTAGGGGTCAACGAACCAAATGACGTCATTTAATAGCATTGGGAGTGAAAAATGAAAATAATTCGAATTGAATTCATTCAGATTCTATGATTCAATTATTGAATTGCACAATTCCAACAAATTTCAAAATGTAAGGACTATCAACATATTTTCCCATGGGAATTAAAGACAAAGAATCACTGCTGTGAACTTGGAAGTCATGATGGCTGGTGGATAAAATTACATAGTTGCCGTGCTTGACCACCACCACCACCATAGAAAGACTTAGCAGTGTATATAAGAATGAGTAATACATTTATTCCTTCACCATCATCAAACTACTATCCTTCTTACTCTCCTTTTTATATCTCTCTAAATCCTCCCACCTATAAGAAAACAAAATGAGTTGGCTTATGTTTCTTCATCAATTTCTTCTGCTATTTCTCTTGTTTTCTTCTTCTACTTGTGCACGCCATACCTGCCTTGAGGACGAAAGATTTTCACTTCTCCAATTTAAAAGAACATTTCCCATAACTTCTGAAGCCTTTTTCTATTGTGACTCTCATCCCAAAATGGTGTTCTGGAATGAGAGTACTGATTGTTGCTCGTGGGAGGGGGTCACATGCGACTGGTCAAATGGTCATGTGATTGGACTTGACCTCAATTGCAGCCAGCTTCAGGGCACCATCCAAGCCAACAGCACCCTCTTCCACCTTCGTCACCTCCAAAGCCTCAATCTTGCCTTAAATGACTTCAATTTGTCTAGAATTCCATCCGAGTTTGGCTCGTTTGCGAGTTTGACCCATCTCAACCTCTCTGACACTAATTTTGCAGGCCGAATTCCTTCAAAAATCTCCCATCTTTCCAAATTGATTTCCCTTGACCTCTCTCACTTTAGTCCTAATTTAAATCAGGGGAGACTTGAACAACACACTTTCAATATGCTCCTTCAAAACCTAACCCAATTAAGAGAACTACACCTTGATGGGTTGAATATCTCTTCACCTTTACCTCATGCTTTGCTAAATCTATCTTCTTTGACATCTCTCAGTCTTTGTTCTTGTCAACTGCGTGGGAAATTCTCAGAAAACATTTTTCACTTTCCAAACCTACGAGAGCTCGATGTACATGGAAATTCAGAACTCACAGGTAATCTTCCAAACTTCAAGGTGACTAGTTCCCTTCAGTTTCTTGATTTCTCCGACACAAGTTTTTCTGGCCAATTGCCTGAATCAATCAACAATCTTAAAGCCTTGAATAGTTTGTACCTCTTCAACTGCACCCTTTCGGGGTCCATTCCTACCTTTTTTGGGAACCTTACACAAATCACCAATTTAGGATTATGGTCTAACAATTTCAGTGGTCAAATCCCCTCATCAATTTCAAACCTTGCAAAGCTTACTTTCTTGTCTCTTTCCAGAAACAATTTTAACGGACAAATACCGGATTCCTTTGGCAACATGAGCCAATTTACTCTCTTGCTCCTTTATTCCAATCAGCTAACTGGTCCCATTCCTTCGAACACAGTTAGGCTTTCAAAGCTAACTACTCTCGAATTGTATGATAACTCACTTGATGGAACTATACCATCTTTGTTGTTTGCTCTACCTTCACTGGTTTATATAGATTTGAGTAACAATAAGCTACAGGGACCAATTCCAGGATCAGTTTATGAACTCCAAAACCTAACATACTTGAGCCTTTCATCAAATAACTTAAATGGTGTAGTGGAGTTAGATAAGCTTCTAAAGCTTAAAAATCTGATCTATCTTGATCTCTCATATAATGGTCTCTCATTGAGCATCAACAACAGTGTCAACTCTACCTTGACCAACTTTGCCACTATGGGATTAGCCTCTTGCAACTTGAGCGAATTCCCAAACTTCTTGAGAGAACAAGCCAGTTTGCAATCTCTAGACCTTTCAAACAACAAAATTCGTGGTGAAATTCCAAAATGGTTATTCAATGTTGGGAAAGATTCATTGTATAATTTAAATCTTTCTCATAATTTCCTTACAAGTTTAGAGTGTCTTCCATGGCAGAATTTAGCATATATTGACTTGCACTCCAACTTACTCCGAGGACCACTCCCTGTTCCACCTAACACGACAAATGTTTTCTCTATCTCAAATAATGAATTGACCGGAGAAATCCCTACATTGATTTGCGATCTGAGGTTGCTTGTTGTTCTTGATTTGTCTAATAACAGTTTGAGTGGGTTGATTCCACTATGTTTGGGAAACTTGAGCAATAGTCTATCTGTGCTGAATTTAGGGATCAATAGCTTTCGTGGCACGTTTACTGTAACATTTGCCAAAGGCAACATGCTAAGGAATCTTAACTTGAATGGCAACGAAATTGAGGGACAAGTTCCACGATCTTTGCTCAATTGTAGACACTTAGAAGTTCTAGATCTCGGAAAAAACAAGATAAATGATACATTCCCCCATTGGTTGGGAACTCTTCAAAACTTGCAAGTTCTTGTCTTGAGATGTAATAGGTTCTATGGTCACATAGGCACCTTCAAGACCAAGGGAAAACATCATTTCCCTAAGTTGAGAATTATCGACATGTCTTACAATGATTTCATTGGCCTTTTGCCAACAAATTATATCCAACAATTTGAAGGTATGATGAATGCGGCTGGACATGAAATGAAATTGAAATACATGGGTGAATACTATTATCAAGATTCTGTGGTGGTCATGATGAAGGGATATGAAATTGAATATTCAAGAATCTTAACGGTCTTCTCAATCATTGATTTATCAAGCAACAATTTCCAAGGAGAGATTCCAAAATCCATTGAGAAGCTTAGTTCGCTTCGGGGTCTTAACTTATCTCATAACAATCTTACAGGCCATATCCCAACTTCACTTGGAAATTTGAAAAACCTTGAATCATTGGACCTTTCCTCAAACAAGCTTGTAGGGGAGATTCCTCAGCAATTGACAAGTTTGAATTTTCTTGCCGTACTAAACCTTTCGGATAACCAGCTAGAGGGACCAATTCCTAAAGGGAGTCAGTTTAACACATTTGAAAATGATTCGTACAATGGGAACTTGGCCTTATGTGGATTCCCCTTATCAAAGAAATGTAAGGAACTACAGTCGCTGCCACCTCCAACAATACTCCAACATGATGAAAATTCAGATTGGGCGAGCGGATTTAACTGGAAAGTTGTAGTGATGGGGTATGGATGCAGATTTGTATTTGGAATGGTTATGGGGTATCTTATGTTTGTAACTCGAAGACCAGAATGGCTTATGAAAATTGTTGAAGGAAAACAATATAAGAAGGTGAAAAAGGTCTAAAAAGGGTGCCCACTGATGTAGTGAAAGAAGAAACCAGTGAAAACAAATGGCTTTAGTAGGTAAGTGGAATTTATCTTTGCAACATTACTTTGTTGGATTATCGTTTATGGTTTCTATCTATAAGCTATATTTGAGTTACTAATTATTATTTTTTTTTTCAAAACTAGATATTTTCCTTTCAGTTGCACAATAAAGCAATCGAATCCAGTTGAAGGGGTGTCTCACCTAGCTTTTGCATTTGAGGGCATGTGCATCCAAATAGCAGCTATACAGGATCACTTCAAAAACTTTGCTTTTGTTGTTGTATTAAATTCTAAAGCTTTGTTAAGTTGTTTAGTTTTCTTAAAGCACTGACTTAAATAAGAGCTGCATGTCATGACTCTTTTGTGTTACTTTTTTCGCATCATGTGGCAACCTTTGGAGATTTTCACTTTTGCGTGTAGTTGCTTTTAAATTGGATTTTAGTCACAAAAGACAAGACCTTACCAAGTTTTTAACTTCGAAATGCAATCTTACAAGTTATAACTCCAACCGTTCCCCTTGTTACATTCTTAATCATTTTGAGTAATAGAAATGTTGGCTAGTAGATAGAAAATTCGCATTGAAAATAATGTTTATATGTTACTCTTTGGGCAGTGCTTTTAGTCGTTGCTATTGTAGTCTAGCCGAGCTTCTGACATCTTTTCTCTTTCGTACCTTTCTATCAATAAACAGAATTGATGATAATTAGTTTTTTTTTTTCTTTTTTAAATCTTCAATGGCTATTGGAGGATCAAACTGGAGATATTTACAAGCACTCGTTCAAAGATGTGGGAATTTTGTGATTGTTTGTAGTATGAAAATGGTGATAGGGAGAATATTAATTGAAAAGGTCTCTCATAGGCAAGAATGTTGTTGGGATTGTGAAGTCCGATTAATTAGTACTATAGACTTCATTATGCGATCATAGATCCAACTGATGTGACCATGTAATTTGAATGTGTCGGTTTTTTTTTTTTCTTTTCAAGTTGCTTATAGCTTAAAAATGGTAGTTTGGTGTACTAAAATTTTTATTGTGTTCTAAATTTATATCAACCATGAAAAAATTAGTTTGATCTTCATAACCTTTTTATTTTTTCTCATTTGTCTTAAAAAAAATGGATTATCCATTTTTTAGAGATAAACACGATAAAATAAAAATGTTATGATTATCGGATCGACATAATTCTTTTGGGGATAATATACATCGAGGGCCTTACAAAAATGACCGATTCATATTATCAAAACGGAAATCGTGATGGGCCTCATTGGCCCCTCAAGTTCTGTCATGTTGAGATGTGAATAGGAGAAGCCTAACCCTTTATTTTATTTATTTATTTAGGTTCAAAATCTTCTTTTCCAGTTTTGCTAACAATTCATTGAAACATACTACTGCCTAAATTTTGGTATTTGTTATTGTATATGTGTGTGTTTTAATTTTTATAGTTGTGGAGCGATATTATAAAGAAAATCGAGCGTAGAATCATCATCTTCACCGATTCATGACGAGTCTCCAAAACATAGTCATATAGAAATCGACTTGCTAGACCTTCCTGAAGATCCGGGGCTATGACCTCAGATTACGGATCATCATCATATCATCTGAGAACAAGTTCGTAGAGTGTACTTATTAAAAGGCCCTTCTCAACCTCGTAATCACAATATTCCACGAAGGAAAATTGGGCAATCATCAAAAAGGTTTAACCCTTTATGGTTTAATGAATTTGGTAGTTGGTTAGAGTATAGTAGAGCTAAAGATGTTGCATTTTGCCTTTGTTGTTACCTTTTTAAACCCGTCGTAGGAGACCGAGGAGGCGGTAAGTCTTTTGTTGTTGATGAGTTTTCAAGTTGGAAGAAGAAAGAAAGGTTGCAAGGTCACACGGGAAGTGTTAACAGCTCTCACAATCAAGCTTGGAGAAAATGTCAGTACTTACTGAATCAAAAGCAACATATTGAAACAGTTTTCTCCAAGCTACTTGATGAAGCCAAGAGTGATTATAGAGTTCGATTGATTTCATCAATTGATTGCATCTGACTTCTTTTGCGACAAGGGATTCTATTACATGGGCATGATGAATTTGAAGATTCAAGAAACCAAGGAAACTTTCTTGAGCTTTTGATGCTTCTTTCAGATCAAAATGAGAATCTCATAGCTCTTTTGTCAAAAGACGTTCTTGAACACCTTGAGTTGACAGCACCTAGTATTCAAAAGGATATTGTTAATGCCATTGCGGTTGAAACTACCAATGCTATTGTTAGAGAACTTGGTGATGGCATGTTCTCTATTGTCTTTGATAAATCTTGGGATGCATCAATGGAGGAGCAATTGATTGTTTCTTTGAGATATGTGCATGGTAGGGGATATGTGATTGAGCAGTTTTTGGGTATTAAGCAAATTTCTAGTTCTAGTGTTCTTTCACTTGAGAAGGCGGTTGAAGACTTATTTTCTACACATATTGATGACATATCTAGGTTACGTGGACAAAGTTATGACGAGGTTAATAATATTGACATATCTAGGTTACGTGGACAAAGTTATGACGAGGTTAATAATATTGATATGCAAGGTGAGTTCAACAAATTCACCACACTTATAATGGAAGAGAATGAAAGTGCATATTATGTTCATTGTTTTGCTAAAAAAGTTGAATTAACTCTTGTGGAGGCAGCAAAGAGTCATATCCATATTGCAACACTCTTTTACGTGGTTTCTAAAGTAGTTAAGGTTGATGGAGCTCCATGTAACCATCAAGATATTCCTTGGGGGAAGTGAGTTGCTGAAGTTGTTCAAGCTCTAAAGAATGATGAGATTACAAGTGGGAAAGGTCTCAATCAAGAGGACACTCTTATTCTTGCAGGTGATATATGTTTAGGATCACATTATAGGACTTTGATGAGTTTGATTAGTATGTTTTCAGATGTGCTTGATGCGATTGCTTTCGAGGGATCCTATTCCAACGTAACATAGCAGAAGCATTCTACCTATTTCACCCATTACAATCCTTTGATTTTGTGTTTAATCTACATTTGATGAAATCCGTATTGGGAATTACAAATGATTTGTCATAAGCATTCCTAATATGGATGACTTGTATGTACCTCGAGGGAGATCAAGGTGTATAGATCAAGAAGTGACAAGTCACACGGTGAAGGCGGTTCGTCAAAACCATTTATGAGTGAATGAGAAGTTGACACTGTTTTCGGGTTTGTAGAATGGACAATTAAAGAAGTACAATGAGGATTTCCTTAAAATGGTTGTCCCACATTGAAACTTTAAGAGAGCACGTATGTGTGTATAAGCTCTAGGTGGACAAACTTGAGTTAGGCCCCAAGGGGCACCCCAAGTTTGTAGAAGGGAAGAGTTATGGACAAAATCGGCCTTGGTTCAAACCACCAAACACACGCTGCCGTCCGACCGACTATGCCGGGCACAAGTGTGGGTCTTTTCTACTATTAATTTTTTGGACAAAATTTGTTTGAATTTTTTCCAAAAATTCTTGCGGGAAAATTATTTTTTCTGAACGAAATAAATTCAAATTTTGCACCAAATTTGAATTCAATTTTTCTGTCCAAAATAGTGCCCATCTGGTCCAATTTCCAACAGATTAAACTACTCTAAACAGTTTTAAAGCTGCCTAGTAGTTCGGACAGATTCAAACCTGTTTCAACAGGTTCAATTCAATTTCATACTTGTTTCAGTTTGAATTCTACACCTGTTCACTTCAATTTGTACCTGTTCGGACAGATCTGAAGGTCACCAATCTGCCTATAAATACTACAATATTTGAGCAGTTTGTTGATTCAATAAATTCACTTGTTGCTTTGAATTTTTGCTCTCTTGCATTATTATTCTTCATATTAGTCTTTAGGAAATATTCTGAGAATATATAATATAGAACACGTCTTTAATAAATTCACTTTTTGTACTTAGTCGTTTTGGTAAATAAATTTTGTAAGTAATTTATTTTTATTTGTTTGATTTGGTTTCAAGTTATTTATTTTACGTAGAAGATTGTTCCAACATGTGTTGCATTCCTAAATCCATCCGATTCATTTGTTGCTTTTGATACGAAAAAATTGATTAGTGTTGCCCAATTTTATCTAAAAGACTTTCCAGCTATTGAGCTTACGACACTTCCTATTCAACTTGAGAATTTTATCATTGATATGCGGTCTAGTGTTGAGTTTTCAAATTTAAAAGGAATCAGTGATCTTGTTGGGAAGATGGTTGAGACTAGAAAAGAGAGAATTTATTTCTTGGTTTACAAACTGTTGACTTTGGCACTGATTTTACCTATTGTGACTGCCACAATAGAGAGGGCATTTTTTGCGCCAAAGACTGTAAAGACTAGGCTTCGCGATGAAAATGGTGATCAATTGATGAATGATAGCCTGGTTGTGTATAATGAGGGGGGGATTTGTAGGAGCATTCCAAATGAGGCTATCATGCATCGTTTCCAAAATATGGGAAGTCTTTGAGTTTATTTGTAATTAAACCTGTATCTTATCGATGAATATCTAAGTTTTTGCTCTGTTCTTAGTTCAAATTTTTTGCTTCTTTCGATTGTCAAATAGGAAAAATTTTCATGAATGATTCTAGGTAAGTTCTTACCCCCCTTGACAAAAATCATAGTTTTGCCCTTGAGGATTGCTTGTTCGAGGAGACAGAGAGCATATAGAGTAAAAAGGCATTTGAGTGTTCAGTCAAAATTGGATTAGTTCACTCTATTTGAGGGGGGAAAAAATGAACATGCATATGAATTAGAAGAAGAAAAAAGAAACATAAAAATGAGCAGAAGCTATTCAAAACTTGTTCCTTCCTATCAACAATTCGTATAGGGTGTTCCTCATAGGTCAAATTTTCCTTAAACTGCAATGGTGCATGATCAATCACATGACTAGAATCTGGTATATACCTGCTTAACATTGAGACATGAAAAACATTATGAACTCCAGCTAGTAAAGGTGGTAGGGCAAGTCTGTAAGCCACTTATCCAATTCGATCTAAAATCTCAAATGGCCCAACAAATTTAGGACTCAATTTACCACGAACACCAAACCTCATTACTCCTTTCATAAGAGACACCTTAAGGAACACATGGTCTCCAACCCCAAACACCAAATCACGTCTCTTATTATCTGCATAACTTTTCTGTCTACTCTGTGCAGTGCAAAGTCGCTCTCTAATAAGATTGATCTTGTCCACTGTTTGTTGCACAATCTCAGGCCCTAACAACTTCCTTTCGCCTACATCATCCCAACAAATAGATGATCTACACTTCCATCCATATAAAGCCTCATATGGTGCCATCTGAATGCTCGCATGATAACTGTTATTATAAAGGAACTCCACTAAGGCCAAATGCTCATCCCAAGAACCTCCAAGATCAATAGCACAAGCCCTCAACATGTCTTCCAGGGTTTAAATAGTTCTCTCTGACTGTCCATCAGTCTTAGGATGAAAGGTTGTGCTAAAATTCAACTTAGTACCCAAAGCTGCATGCAAACTCCTCCAAAACATAGATACAAATCTGCTATCTCTGTCAGACACTATGGTCATCGGAATACCATGCAACCTCACAATCTCCTTGATATATACAATTTTGCAAACCTCTCTAAGGAGAATCCCACCTTAAAAGCTAGAAAGTGGGTGGATTTTGTCAACTGATCAACAATAACCCAAATAGCATTGTTTCCACCTTGGGTTCTAGGTAACCCTGTCACAAAATCCATGGTAATATGTTCCCACTTCCACTCGGGAATAGGAAGAGGTTGTAATTTACCTGCATGTCTCTGATGTTTAACTTTCACTTGTTGACATACCAAACATTGAGCAACATACTGAGCAATTTCCTTCTTCATATTATTCCACCAAAAGTTCCTCTTCAAGTCTTTATACATTTTAGTGCTCATTGGATGTACCGTATACCCTGAACTGTGAGCTTCTCTCAAGATTTCTCTCTTGAGCTCTAAATCATTAGGCACACACAACCTCTCTCCAAATCTCAAGGTTCCATCTTTATGCACACAAAATTCCATCTAAAGCCCTATTTCCATTTCAGCCTTAAGTTTTTGGAACTGAGGATCTCTTCCTTGAGCATCTTTAATTCTATCAATCAATGTGAGTTGAACCCTAAGGTTTGCCAGTTCCACTCCATTGTTGTGCCATCTAATCTCAATATTCAGCCTTTGCAAGTCCTCCAAGATATTTTTTTGGTTAGTGATCAAGGTAGCCAAATTACTTGGGGTCTTTCTACTCAAGGCATCCGCCATTGCATTGGCTTTTCCCAAATGATAATTGATAGTCAAATCATAGTCCTTTAATAGCTCCAACCATCGCCTTTGCCTCATATTCAATTCCTTTAGAGTGAAAATATACTTCAGACTTTTATGATCAGTGAATATCTCACATTTTACCCCATACAAGTAGTGCCTCCAGATTTTCAATGCAAACACCACTGCAACCAACTCCAAATCATGCATGGAATAATTCTGCTCGTATGGCTTCAATTGCCTAGACGCATATGCCACTACCTTATCATTCTGCATCAAGACGCAACTCAAGCCCATCTTTGATGCATCACTATAGATGGTAAAACCTTCATCCCCGGATGGAACTATAAGTACTGGAGCAGACACCAATCGACTCTTTAGATCTTGGAAACTCTTCTCATAATCATCAAACCAGTCAAATTTTACCCCTTTGTGTGTTAAACGAGTCAAAGGCATAGAAATTCAGGAAAATCCCTCAAAAAACCTTCTATAATATCTTGCTAAACCCAAGAAGCTATGAATTTCAGTGACACTAGTAGGCCTATTCCACTCTACCACAACCTCTACTTTCTTGGGGTCAACAGACACCCTGTCTTTAGATATCACATGACCTAAAAATGATACACTCTCTAGCCAAAATTCACACTTCTTTAATTTAGCAAATAATTTCTTCTCCCTTAATATCTGCAACACTATTCTTAGATGTTCTTCGTGCTGCTCTTTACTCTTCAAGTACACAAGAATGTCATCAATAAAAACTACCACAAACTGGTCTAAGAGGGTTTAAATACTTTGTTCATTAAATCCATAAAAGCTGCAGGCGCATTGGTTAACCCAAACGGCATCACTAAAAATTCATAATGCCCATACCTAATTCGGAAGGCTGTCTTAGGTATATCTTCCGCCATAACCTTCAACTGGTGATAGCCAGAATGAAGGTGAATCTTAGAAAAGACTTGTGCTCCTTGCAATTGATCAAATAGGTCATCTATTCTGGGCAAAGGATATTTATTTCGAATTGTTACCTTGTTTAACTCTCGATAATCAATGTAAAGGCAAAAACTACCATCCTTTTTTTTCACAAATAAAACGGGCGCACCCTAAGGAGAAACATTAGGCCTAATAAAGCCTTTATCTAGTAACTCTTGTAATTGTTCCTTTAACTCTTTCAACTCTGCTGGGGCCATCCAATATGGAGCCTTGGAGATAGGACCCGTGCTGGGTATCAATTTGACGGCAAACTCAATCTCTCTATCCGGTGGCAACCCTGGTAAGTCTTTAGGAAAAACATCGGGAAATTCCTTCACAACTAGAATATCCTCTAACTTCAATTCAGTCTCACGGATATCTCTCACAGAAACTAAATAGCCCTTACAACCATTCCTTAACAACCGTCTAGCTTGCAAAGCTGAGATTACCAGAGGAGGAGTGTTAACTCTACTACCCACAAAACAAAATTCTAGTTGATCAGGAATCTGAAACACTACCCTTTTTCCTTGGCAATCAACAGAAGCATAATTGGTTGCTAACCAATCCATTTCGAGAATTATGTCAAAGTCCCACATATCTAAAATAGTTAAGTCTACAAGCAATCTCCTGTCATCTATACTAACCACACGATATTTGCAAATTAAGTCAGCAACCATAACATCTCCTATTGGGGTTTCAACACATAAGTCGATCTCTCTAGAGACACATTTCCATCCATGTTTCTCAATAAATCCCATAGACACAAATGAATTTGTAGTGCCAAAATCAAATAACACATGTGCATAAATAGAAGACACTAAAACAGTACCTGACACCACCGTGTTGGAAGTCTGAACATCTTGTTGCGTGAGTGCATATACTTGACCTTGAGTCTTTGGCTTATGACCTCCATTTTTCTTTTGATTTCCTGAAGACCCTCTGTCTGTTGATGTTTCTTTATTTGTCCATGCTTTCTATTCAGTCTCACGCCCCTTTCGGTTAGGGCAATCAACTATCCTATGCCCCTATTGCCCGCAGAAGAAACAAGCCCCAGTATTCCAGTGACACTCACTATCCCGATGGAACCCATTACTTCTAGTGCACTGTATCCGATCTTTCTGCTTATCAAGACTACCACCCACAATTCGACTTCCCCAACTCCCAACTGAAGAAGTGTTTTGTCTCTTAGCATTGCCCTTCAAACTGTTGTTAGTTTGAAAGTTGGAAGAACTAGGTCTCTTCTTATAATTCTCTTCTTTCTTTTCTTGGGCTCTAGTGAGGCCACTCTCAACCAACAATGCCTTATTCAACACTGCCCCAAAAGTAGGTAACTCGAAAGGAACCACCTGTTGCATAATGTTCGTTCTTAGCCCACCTTCGAACTTTCATGCTCTGCTATCCTCGTCTGCTTCAAATGCTGATGCAAATTTAGACAACTTTGTAAACTCGGCTTCATATTCTGCAATCGTCTTATTCCCTTGCTCCAACGTCGAAAATTTCCTCTGTTTTTGTAGACAAACACTCCTGGGGAAGTTTTTGTAGACAAACACTCCTGGGGAAGTATTTCTCATTGAATGCATTCTTAAACCTTTCCCATGTATAGGGGTTGGCATCATGCTCATGTATGCGCTTCTCCATCTGCCACCAATCATTAGTTATCCATTGTAGCATAAATGTAGCATAGGTCACCTTCTAATCATCCGTACACTCAAAAATAGGAAACAACTTTTCCATTTATGTTAACCATTTTTCAGCCTCCAAAGGGCCTATGGCTCCGTCAAATGCCAAGGCTATCTTCTTAAACTCAGTAATGTTACAATGTGGGCTTGGTTGTGGCCCAACATCTGGCTGCATCCGTTGTGTTGCTCCATAAGTCTAGTCAAGTTATTCCCTATGGTGGTTTGTTGTTGCACCATCCTGGCTAAAGTCTGAAGCACGTGAACCATTCCAATTGGATTGGGGATTGCAGCTTTTTCTTGTTGTCCCAACTCTTGCCCCTGATTTCCTCCGACTGCTTGAGAACCACTACCATTATTCGTCACATTCCGACGCCGATTGTTATTACCAATCCGTTGATTTGTTTGACCCTAGCATGTATTCCTAGCCATATTTGCCAATGTCTCCTCATGTTCCATTGCAACCTATATGCATCAATAATAAAACCTCATCTTATTCTATTCTTAAGTACCTATAACATGTAAATAAAATTAACATTATACCAAATTATAAGTGTTCCG